AATAAAAATATAAAAATTATAAAAATTGAGAAATAGAAAAATTTTGAGGCGATATATTAGGAGATGATTTGAAGCGAATAGTTTGTTAAATTTTTCTTTCTTCTCTCTGTACAGATGTGTGCACATAACAGATATAGGCGTGGGCTATATTTCCACGATGGGATCATTGAGCACATTGTTCTTGAGATGGTGCATACTACTTAGAGACTTTGGACTTCAGCACTTGTGCGGCATGAAATCCTTACAAGTACTCTCCGTGGCAGGTAAATTCAACGTCAGGCCTGTCTTACATGACGCCCTATATTACAGATCAAAAAATAAGCTTTGTCGTCGTTTTCCCATTCCTCAAGGGATGAAAAATCATTGCTCTCGTCCACAAAAAAAAAGTCTACAAAAAAATTAAAATCTAACATATATATTCCTTTCTTTGTACATAAATCGTTAATCAATAATCTTATTCTATTTTATAGATGAACAACAAATATTGAAATCCATCATTGTAAAACTTATCTATTTTTATGTATAAAATACCAGCAAATAATTTCATATCACTTTACAAGGAAAAAAGAATTAATTTCTATTAAAAAATATAAATTTTCCATAGGCTGTCCATTGCTTACAAGTAGTGGATTATCCAGTTTGATTCAACTTCGACATTTGCACGAGTTAGAGCTAACCAATTGTCCAGGAACGTCTCAGGAGTTGTTTGACTATTTGCGTGAACATCTACCACGCTGCCTAATCATCGAATAAATGAAGCTTCGTTGGAAGCAAGGCAACAAGCTCCAGCAATTCATCTTCTGCGTTTCATCTAGAAAATTCATTTCTATTTCTATAGAACAAGACGGCAACATAAAAAAATATTTCACATAAAGCAATACTTAGAATGGACAAGGGTCCGACGATAGACGAGGAGATAACGATGCGGATACAGATAGGAAAGAAGCAATTAACGTCCAAATATGAACATTACCGCATACTTATGTTCTTTCTTATAACGACAAAGGATATAAAAAAATAAAAAAGAAGCGGATATATAGAAAGAAAAAAAGAAAAACACTAGCCCCTAAAAACATGCAAACATGTTAACATTAAGATAGCGTGTAGATTTTTAATACACAGAGCTCCTGTATGAATCGCACTCCTTTCTCGCCGATGCTAGAACTTTTTAATCGAATCATACATGATTCGATTTATCGTGTTGTTTTCTTTTTCTTCTTCTGTTTTTTTCGAAACATGTTTGAGAAGAAAATGCAAACAAAAGAGAAAAAAAAAAA